CGGCCATATTTGGAAACATTTTGCTGTTCTTATGTACTGATCTTGTTGAGACGATGTGAGGTTGGCATAAGCTGTTGATGTGGTAGTAGTAGTTGTTGTTCTAGTATCTAGCCGGAATGTGAAGCTCTGACCACCTTCGAAATCTGTCACATCTTCGAGATCCAGGAGATTATACATCGATAGCGAAATATAGATAAGCTGGTCACATTATGAGAAGAACAGACGACAGATGGACGAAAAAACAATGGAGTGGACTCCATGAGAATGCAAACGTCCCCTAGGACGACCACCTACACGTTGCGCGGACGTGTTTGTAAACAAAGTTAATCAGTTGTACCCGCAGCTGCAGTTGTTTTACAGATAATGGTATGTGACTCGCAAGCGCTAGCATGCTCGAACAAGACCACCACCATGGACTACGATTGCGAGATAAAGGAACGAATGGCATATGTGCTGGGGTCCGCATAGTTCGTGAAGACGGGCCGTCCAAGTATCCAAGTATCCAAGTGGTAGTTGTTCTTGTCGTTGGTTTGTGGCTGACGTTTATGCGATTTCGTCTTCCTCGGAACCGTGCTGTTACGAACGGAACTCATTCTTTCTGTTTTCTGTTGTGTTTGCAAGATTTCCTCAATTCAATTGCAGTACTTTTCTGTCTTGACTAGTTTTTTTCAAGTTTGAAGACTTTGAATCACGTGGTTCCCACTGCCGAACGATGTTGTCATAATTATCGTTTCGTGGGAAATTTTCTGCATGAACCAATATCGCATGTTGTGCTAACCATATCACTTCTTTCGTTCGACTCGTCTTCTTCGTTCCTTCAGCCACTAAAGCAGTCGGATCTGTTTGTGGACTCGCAATTGCTTGAAGATTTTTGACCTACTTTATCAATGTCGTGGTATGCTGTTTAAGTCGACACTCTTTCGTATTCGGGGCAGCCGTACTGGCTCCCCTAGCTCTTCCGGATCGGAAACCGCTTCCCAGACAAATATTATGCCAGTTGCTGACTTCGGAAGGATCGCATGGTTTCTTCATTCTAGGCGAGATCAAATCGAGGCCTTGCATGTGTTGAACGGTTTCGCTACCTCTGCGGTAGTAATGGGTCCTGTTTATAGGATCCAGATAGAGTCAATGAAAGGTTTATGGTCGCACACGGCCTTCACCATCATAAGACAGATCTCTGCTACTGAACACTTTCCAGTTTCTATTGTCATTGGTCTACGTTTAACCTGAGTCTAAACGATGTGATTTTTCTGAACCTTAAGTTAAGCATTGGTAAAAGGAATTAATTGGCATATAGTCAAGAATTTACTAATTTTAAAAACGGTACACAGAAACAAGGTAAAGGACAAATGTATATTATAAAACTTTTAAAACCTTATTAGGAAAAAGTGGGCAATATTTTTCCACAAGCGATAATGATGCGAAAAGAGCAAAAAAAAAAAAGAAATAAAACGAAAACTCAGTAGACTAAGATAGGGCACCATTCCCCATTGCGTGTTGTGAAGCTGCCGAGGTTTCGCAAGCTTCCCTTCTCTTCCGATGGGTGAGTTAACCCTGCGTAAATGAGAAAGGGTGGCTGTGTAATTAAGACGATTTAGAACCTGAAAAAAACATACACCTACCCAGTGTTCAGGAACATCACAACCACTCAGAATCAAACTTGGATTGCTTATATTCAAAAACAAATCAATGTCTATACAAAACCACTCCAAACAAAAATTACGTATAGGAGAGAGGTAACAAGACCTGCGACACTCCGGCCCTAGACTGGTGAGCCTTCTTCTGATCTCCCCAGTTTCCTGTGGCAAGAGAATAGGCAAGACCACGGGTTATTGTTGACGTTTTGACACACACGTCCAGTGCAAAGTCTCCATTCTTATTTATGTACTTTATTGCACTAAGCCGCATCTTGAAACAAGAGGATATTTCCTAAGCAGTGGAATGTAGGGTAAAATGTTAAAACGGACTTCTTTTAGCAAGTTTCTAAACAACGCTCGAAACAGAAGCGCCAGTAGAGGACCAGCAAGATCCAATCTCTTGTTTCCCATGTGGTCTCGATCATCGAGTTCACGCCGACCCAGTGCAGATAGTAAAAGTCGGTGGACCATGTACCCAATAAAGTACTAAAATAACGGGATGATAAACCCACGGTGGAAAAGAAAGGAAGAAATTCTACGTACTGCTTTCTTTGTTTCGCAAAAATCCGCCACTCCAACATGGGGTAGCATTTCCTTTTGCAGGATTTCCTTAGCATACTTAATACGCTGTTCCTTGGTAACACCTGGCTTCGCACCACGTGTTCCAATGAAATTGAGGGCAACAATTTGTTCCTGGAACCACAGAATAACTGGTCTCAATTCTACATGAAAATGTTTGATAGTCTATAAAAAATGTGACCAAGTAGCATTAAAAAAGGGTCAACGTAGGAAGAACTGAAACCGTACAATTCATTCTCAGAAAAAAATCCTTCAACTGAAAAGATAACTATTCACGTTTGACCCACCTGGATAACAAATGCTTCATCCAGTGAGGGCTTTAACATTTCCATCATTTCGGGATCCTCGAAGTCGTATATTATGTGCTCGAGAATGTCACGATCTGAGACAAAGCCAAGAGCACGAAACACAATCATTATAGGAATCTCCTTAAATGGCCCAAAATTAGCTCAAACACATCCGTGCTTGCGATGTGACTTATCGATTAAGACGGTCCAGTTCACCCTCCAATCGGTACGAGAAAAGACCATTATTGTCCAAAGTCTAATTTTTGTGCTTTATAACGATACCTGCTTAACATACGGAAGGATAGCCACTATACGTTGTCCCATAGCAGTCTTCTTGGCTTCACTTCCACTGCGAGCCAACATGTTCACCCACATGGTCGATGTTGGACGACTGAAACTGCCAACGGTATTTCGCTACGAAAAAGTCGTCATTAGCAAAAGAAAAAAATAAAAAAAACTACCTCGAGTTCTCAGGACAAGACCTGCATTCTGTCTTGAACGCATATTTCCCGTCCTTTATTGAAAATACGTGGACGGCATTCGTTGCCATCCTCTCTTGAGCGATTAGAACCTGAATGAATTAAAAGAAATAAATACTTTTAAGTCGAAGTCAAGTCAAGTCAAAGATAAGCCAATTATTGACGTAAGCAAAGTGAAATTAATTTGGTGAGGCACAGAATACACTAAACTGCACTGAAACCACCTTTTCGGAGCCATTAATTATGAAGTAGCCTCCGGGGTCGAGAGGGCACTCATTAAGCTCTGTGAGGTCGCGGTCGGACATGTTGGAAAGTATACAATAGCTTGATCTATAACTCAACAATATCACCATGTTTCTATATGTATATACTTAATATGTGGAAATGTATACCTTAACATAATCGGAATTTTTCCAACGAAAACTTTTTCGTATACGCACTCCCTTACATCACTTCCCTGTAGAGTTCTCTTCGTAATATCAATATACAGAGGAGAAGCATATGTAAGGTTACGGAGACGAGCCTGGAATACTCCAAAATATCACCACACAAAAAATTAACAAAAATATAGCGACACTAATAATCTTTGTAAAGATACAACATCGGATTCGAATGCAGTTTGTGAAGTCGATGGAGCAATGAGAGAGGATCTGCATGTGGTAATAAGTATCGATTCATCATCCTGACAGGCTAGTTGTGATACCACATGGTCTGACCACGACTGCCAGATATACGGTTAAACACTTACCGAAATAACTAGCACTTCCTTGACATGAAGGAAGATTCAGAGGAAGTCCTTCCTGCTTTTGCCGAGCCGGATTCGCATGTGGCTGTGCGCAACGTGCGAAAATGCAGATATGTATACAATATATACAAGCGAATGTGTGTATATGTATGTCTATGTGAGTTTGTGTGTGTGTGAGTGAGTTCGTGCGTGCGTGTATGTGTGTGTTTGCACATATACTGATACTGATTGGACCTTGTAAGTCAGTTCTGCCAAAAACTTGCTACCAAATGATTGCATCGCGCAGAACAGGAGTCATTCGTGGCTCGCACGGTCCGTGGTGCCCGTAGTTAAAAACGACACTACCCTTTCTTTGGTGCCATTTGCTGCCCAGTACAGTTATTCCACATATTTCCAGTTTATTTTTAAAGCTCGTCATGTTCAGCGTATCGACTTCATCATTTTTTATATCTTTAAGTGGTTTTGCAACTTATTTAGTACTCATGTATGACAAAAAACCTGTTTAGCATACAACCACCGTGCTACTAACTTCTGGTACATCAACGTAATCCCACGCGATAATTACTAGCCATCATAGGGAATGCAAAGAAAAGGACAATAAGTTATTTGTCGGAAAGTGAACTTTATGTGCATGAATTATGTTGACGACGGATGAAATAGGCTCCTCATCGAAAGCGAACAAGAAGACGATGAAGACGCAAAGAAAAAATACGATTCTCTTATGGTTCTTATAGAAGAGCCTGAAGAAAATCAGTCGGAAAATGCAGGTGAAAATGTTCATGGTGATGCCAAGCATGAATGGTAGGACAATGCTGTTTCTCTAAAAACCAAGATTATAGTTAAGCAGATCGATGATATGACACGTTTTGTGAACAACCGGTGAACGATAGCCTATAATGATCGGATCGCAGAGGATGTCAAGTGTATAAGTGCTCACCGACCCGACGATGACAGCTCCTACGAAGAACGTAGAAGAGGAAATATGATCCTCTCCATTGATTTAGAACAAGTGGAATCCACTGGACTACATGTTCGCTAGAGGAAGAAATGGAAACATCACAAAATCCCACTGTAGGATAAACGAGGAATAAGGTGGTTAACATGGATGATATGCGATACTAAATGATAGACCAATGAGCATCTTGATTCTTCACAGATCGCTACGTGAAAATGATCCCTCTCGGAGGACCAAAGCAGGGATTGAACTCAACGCATCCAATTTGGGCGATAAGATGTACATTGCTAGCGCCTCATTGCTTTATGCTATCCTTGTCTAAAAAGAATGAAGGAAATAATGAGTGATAATGAAAGCTAAAAAGCCTCGTCTTACCTCATTAGGCATCATTGGCGTTGGTGTTCCATCCTTCTCCCAATGCGTTGGCTTCGACAAATAGATCTGTCCAAATTTTAGCAAAAACTTTGTTGGGTTTTCTATGTCTCCTTAAGCAAACAATATTTAGGCATGCAAAACGAGAAGTTTTGGAACACGAATGGACAACTACCAAAAAAGTGCTGCATTTCCGCTTGCAGTTCCACAGTAGGAGCATCCTCCACAATTGATTGCACATTCATTTGGATGAATTCATCAAATGAATCAAGCTGCTGACGTACAAGACCCTTTTCTTCAAAGTATGCACTGATCACTACCCAACACGCATCCTGTAAAAACAACTTTAAGACTTTTAGCAACAGAAGCAACAGACTGTTGTTCTATCAATATTAAATTAATTACGAAATTAGAACAGTGCAAGAAAACCAATCCGCACTTGCCACTGTTCGCTTGATATTTCATCTGGATCCTCTTCCTCCATTTCTTGATCGACTCCCTCTCCCTCATAAAGCATGTCAATGTCATGATCCTCATACATCGCTGATTAGTGAACAGAGAGCAGTTAGTGCGCTAGAAAACAATCTGTTCTAATGTTATGATAGTGACTGAAAGCCCGAGTGTAGCAAGGACATCTAGAATTGCTTTTGTTGTTGCAGATGATGGACTCGAATGTGCAAGGCAAACGAAAATCTGACAAGTCATTGCGAAAAATCCAACAACATGACTTCGCCAGCAAATTCATAGTAAATGAATAAAAAGCAAAAAGAATGTACACCAATATGACAGTAGATGTAACACGAAGGAAACCTGATCAAATTCGAAGGCGAAACGTTAGCTTCGATGAAATTATTGATCCATTCGAACAAGTAATCAATAAAAATTTGACGGAAACATGGATAACTGAACTCTTACAGATAACCCAAGGTTGTGAAAAATTGTCCGATACCAAAACTGAATTGAGAATGAACGAATAAGCTAAAGATTTCTCAAACAAATGAAATGACGGCGTTCAGGCAGCACAACGCAACAGATGCGATCACAAACGGCTGTTTCTAACTAAAAAGCATTCGCTAATCATTTTGTTCTAAGAGGAGATGAGTCGTATACAACATTGCATGGAATTGATAGATGACTAGAAGTTTCAACTTGAAGATATCCATTTTAAATTAAGTAGCTGGTCAGAAGAAGGTGAGCTAGAAATTGGCGCCTAACGTCAAATCACAGAAATTTCGAGCTACCGTATACCACACACATGGCTGAAAATAATGCGAGTGGAGCAAGGTGCTTCAATGGATGGCAAAGAAATTCGAAATGCTAGAAACAGAGATATCACCTTCGCGTGAGCTTAATAATGGAGGAATGTATCGATTTTTGAAGCCGAAGCTGCAGAACAACTGGTTTAAAAACTACAGATTCAATTCTCGGACCATTCTGGCTCTGAAAAAGACGAAGAGAACCAGACGTGGGCCGAACAAGTGCACATGCACCAAGGTCCATGTCATCCCAGTCATAAATAAAGTTATTACTTCTGAGTTTATATATATATATATATATATATATATATATAAAGGATAAGGGATAATGCTCTCGGCTTTGATCAATCCCTGAGGGATGCACCATGCATGCGACTTCATTAAGCATCGTTAGAAGCGATTGAATGCATACCTAACCTATACAATGACTCGCGGTGGCCTAGCGATGTATCGAGCCAGTGCTGCTATTCTTCCAGACAAGTCTGGTACCAATTTGCCGACTCCGATGGGATGGAAGGCTTAGTGGGCCATGGGCACGGGAATCGATTCCACGTGTGTGTCGCAGTGGCGCCTCCAACAACTGCGCCACACGCGCCCAAATATATATTTCAGAATTTGTTGTTTTTCAAAACAAACTATGTCGCAGTCGCAATCCAGCACTAGTATTGCCCGTTTTCTAACCTAAAAAGTTAATTTTTCAAATGTGTTGACAAATGTATGAAAATAGTTTATGTATAGATAATTTTCAATGTGTTTAGATTTGAAATCATCAGAACGATCAGGAATGAAATCGAAATTTTTGAAGTGCCACGCAAGCGCCTCCTTCAGCAACACCAGCGCTGCATTTGGGAGCATCATTGTATCCTGCTGAAAAGTACACTTATTTAGTATTGCCGGATGGTACATCCATGGTGTCTTGCTGAAAGGTTCACTCATTTGGTATTGCCGAATGGTACATCCATGGTATCCTGCTGAAAGGTTCACTCATTTGGTATTGCCGAATGGTACATCCATGGTGTCCTGCTGAAAGGTACACTCATTTGGTATTGCCGAATGGTACATCCATGGTGTCTTGCTGAAAGGTTCACTCATTTGGTATTGCCGAATGGTACATCCATGGTGTCCTGCTGAAAGGTACACTCATTTGGTATTACCGAACAATACCTTCATTCTGTTCTGCTAAACGATACATTCATTTGGTATTGCCGAACGCTACTTTCATTGTGTCCTGTTGAATAGCATGGACATTTTGTTCTGTTGAAAAGTACATTCGTTGTCTCCTGTTGACCGATACACTGCTTGTCTTACACACTCGCAATAGGCGGCGTTTAGCGGCCCTGCGGCTTGCGACAATGCCTAATTTTCAGCCTTTGCTGACTTGCTGGCTCTTTGACAATAAACAGTAATTTCTCGATAACTAGAGGTCAACAAGAAGTTGGGCAGGATAACAGAAAAGACTTTAGCTTTATTATTTACTGCCTACTCTTCTTAGTGGCATGGTATATATTGCGAAATATAACTTTAATGATGCCGAGATATTTGAAACACTCCGGACCGCAGGTGTCTGCGGTGGGGAACGAACGCGCTATTGTCCTTACCGGGGAGTAACGTGTTCACCACCACACCATGCGGTTCCTTCGTTTCGCGTGTCTCTCAGCTAGTCCTATTGATCTGTGCCGTTAGCAATCACCCGTCAGCGGGATTGATCTGGGGAGCCCAAATCGGCAACGAACCTAGTTAAGCTGAGGCTAAGTAAAAGATTTGGGCTCCCCAAGCCAGTCGCGTTAACGGGTGATTCCTAATGGCAAAAGATCGCTAGAACTAGCTCAGAGACAGCGAAAACGAAGGAGTTGCATGGTATGGTGGTGAACGCGCTACTCCCTGGAAAGGACAATAGCGCGTTCGTTCCCCGCCGCAGACACCTGCTGTCCGGAGCTTTGCAAATATTTCGGCATCATTAAAGAAAAGACTTTGTTCCAGCGTTCTGTGATATGAGTTGTTATTATTTACTACGTGTTGCTGTGGTCCGACAACGAAACACATCGCTGTTAGAATTTGGGTTTTGCAGTTCATGTTGGGTATATTTCGGTACTTTTTACATCCGTACATTCTGCACAAAAACTTGGCGAACGATTAAAGTGAAATAATAATTATTTTATAGTCAAATTATCGCTCAATCTGCTTGTCCGAAAGAAAGCTTTTTATAAATCATCAACTGTAGAGGGTGGTATTTCTGGTCCGACTGTCCTACATTGATCCGCTTTGCATTGCCTGTTAGAGTGAATACACAGAGTGCGGCAAAAAATTCTGTGCCCCACTGAATTGATAATGGACACTATGCGTTCAAGCCGTCCACTCGTATGATCACGTTCGAACGTGTACGTGCGGGTTATGACAAATGTATTAGTTACGTTCGTTTTAAAGCCAGAAGCCTCAACTACAACAAAAATCCGGAAAAATATCCATCGTGGGCTCCAGGAAGTCATTTTTTTCATCGTACTGAAATAGTAAAGTAGTCCTCTTTAGGGAGGTCTGCAGATGCTGACAGTTTTTCACAATTAGCAAGGTCCAATATGAGCTGAAATGTTTTGATCTAAAATTAACAGCGATCATTACTTACGTGCCTAAAGCCTTTCACAATCAGTTCACGTCACGTCGAGCGACATTTGTTGAGAGAACTTTTCTGTCAAGTGATGATGTCGTTAAACGCCGATGGTAACATATTTGTAAAAGTTCGGGTGCGATCGGTGAGGATGCCTCAAATTGGGGACAAGTGCCCATCACGGCATGGGCAAAAGGGAACCGTGGGTATCATGTACAGACAGGTACTAATTGAAGGTTATCTACACTGTAGTGAAAATATCTTTCTACTTCTGTTCAGCAAACACGAGGTGCTATTTTATTTCTTTATTTACGCACATGCTGACGTTTCGGCGGATTTCGCCTTCCTCAGAGCCTGGAAGGGTAAAGTTGACAGCAAACTATTCGGCCAAACACCTCCATAACCAAACAGAGAAAACGCTAAACCAAGATTTCATTCACATTTAGCATAGCTCTGCACACTCACCGCTTTCTATGAGTCTTCCACTGAGTATGTCGCGTGAAGACCGACCGCACAGAATTCACATGGAAGCGTAATGTACCCCTCCCATCGGAATAACAGGCTTATAATAATAACAGGTTCCAAATATTCCTGGATCGTCTACGTAACGTGCGACCCAACAGCGCGTACGTGGTGGAGTCCTTCGACGTCACTGCCCTGTATACGAACGTGTCGAATGACTCCGCTATGNAAAGCCATAAACGAGCTCCTTATACAACACGAAGGAGCAATAAACATGTACGGCTTCTCGATTCAGCAGTTGATGACACTCTTAAAGGAGTGCCTAAACTGCTCAATCTTCAGATGGCCCGGGAACTATTACGCTCAAATGAGAGGGCTGGCAATGGGACAACGACTGGCACCAAGCCTTGCCATTGCATTCATGTCTAAGGTGGAAGCGCCAGTAATCGACCTCGGTCCGTTACTCTACTGTAGATATAGAGATGACTGCTTGGTCATTTGTTCAACGCAAGAAGAAATCGACAGTTGTTTCGAGTTGTTGAACACACAGAGTATATTAAATTCACCCGACAGAAACCCAAAAAAACTGGCCTCCATTTCTGAACGTGCAAATTGGCCTATCAGAAAACGGCTACATTACGAAGTGGTATCGAAAGCCAAGTAGTAAAAACATCCTAGTTCATTCAAAATTCAAAACCTCTCCTCTCATCCCTCTCACACGAAAAGGGCGCTTGTGAGAAACATGTATCGAACAGCTAACAGCGTGTGCACAGGAAGACAACAGAGAGAGGAGTCTCGGAACTTGGCGCGGCAAATAGCCATTCTTAATGGCTACGAAACCGTAGCTCGAGATAGGTGTAGAGGAAACCACAGGTACCCCAACGATAACTCTAGCGACAACAAGGTCCCGTTCATACTGCTCTTCATTTCAAATGAAGTAAGTGCAGCTATAAAACGCTGTTTAAGAAGGGCCAGTCTAGAGAATTCGGTAACGATAATCGAAATACCACCGAGTAAGAGTTCGGGTACAGTCTATCTGATCTCTTGTAAAGCGTGCGGAGACGAATACGTTGGCGAAACGGGTAGACCACTCTGCGTACGTATAAAAGAACACCTAGTCGGCAAACGTAAGCCAAGTACTCCACTAGGTACGCATAGCACGCA